ATTGTTGACTGGGTGGCCCCAACAGCAGCAGACATCTGCCGGGGCACGGTATGTGAAAAGTTCAGGGACTGATGAGGGAAAGACAGTTTGAAAACTTTTTTAAAAGAAAAAATACACACACACACACACACATTTTAGGCCAAATGAAGCATGAAAAATACTCAAAATAAAGACTTAAAAAAGCATTAGCTGTTCTTGCCTTTGTAAGGAAACCATCTGTAAAGTTTGAATGGCTGAGGATATGATTTGGATCCTACCCTACTCTTTCCTGAGACTGTTTTCCAGACAGGCCCAGCTGTTCTGGGGAGCAACCCAGTGCATGCGTCGGGTCCACTTCACCCCCAGCCTCCCCTTTAACCCCAAGCCAGAGACACCCCCCCAAAACGACTGGCTCCCCAGGTCCTCCTTCAGCCAGCCTCACCCCTGCCATTTTCCAGAGCTTGGACAAAGTCTCCACTTTCCATTCTAAAAGTCCAGTGAAGTAATTTCAAGTCAAGCTGATTTTAAATGTTTAGAATGTGGCTTCCCGCCTCCTTCTTGTGACCACAGAAGCCCTGTCTCCTAAAGCAACAATTCTCACCGTTGAGAGCATCACAGGAACTTGTTGAAATGTCAGTTCCTGGGCCCCAACTCACTCCCATTCTGGCCCCATTGGCCTTGAATCTGCATTTTAACGAGCTCCCAAGGCAATACCGATACTGGAAGCCCCTGGACTTCACTATGAGAAATCATGTTTGGAAGGAAATGGTGCCTCAGTCGGAACTTAGTTGTTGGTCTCATTCACCCAGCTGTATCCCCAAGTTAATAACTAGCACAATGCCCCAGGCACTGCAGGGGCTCCGGGTCCATTGGATGGATGGGGGAGGGGAGAGAAGGGAGGGCTGCTCAAGAAAGATGGACACCGGCCAAAGGATTCCCAAATTAACATAGCAAAACAGGCTGGAAGAAAGCATCACACTTCTTATAAAAATGTTTCTCTGAAAATGTGTCGACCAGGGCTGACTCATTTTTAACCAAGAATTCTGTAAAAGACACAAGACCATGTGTAACATGGACAACACGGCCACAGGACAGGCAGACCAGATGCAGCCTTGAGAGCCACGAGCTGCAAGTGAATGAAAACACATCCAATTGAGAATTAAATAAACATGGCTGGGCCTGCAGCCAAGGAGAGTTCTTGGATTGGACTTTTATCAGGAACCTAAATTTTAATCAGCTGGAACTTCTTTTCCAAGTACCACCCTATTCCTTCCTACCTTTAGAGATGAAGTATTTGCCTTAAATGGGAAACTTGCACGTCACTGAAAAGACGATGCCAGCGTTCTGGCTTCCTGAATTCCTGAAGGAACAGACTTTGGTGGGGGAAGGGCGGGGGGAGAGTGGAAATTGTGTTTCAGGGATAATAGACCAGGGAAGGTGTACCCCATCTAGGTAAGAAGGCAAGAAATGTTCCCTCCTCCTCCACTGCAGGAAAAGCCACTAAATAAAAACCTGTGGGAATAGATTCCTAATTTCTTGTTCCATAAATAGGCTTCTCAAACAACCAGCAAGGCAAGAGGAGGGGAAAAAACCTCAGGGCAAGTGACCAACATAAAGTTACCCATCACAAACAAAACCGTTCCACTTCCAAAAAGCAAGCAGTTAAGACTCAGTGTAAATGAGGATGCTGGCCCCTCTGGAAGTTTTACAACTTGTTACTTCTTTGCGAAAACTGTATTTATTACTCAAAGAGCAACTTTACCTGGCAAGAGCCCTAAGAGACTTAAAAAAAAAAAAAAAAAACTAGTCGAGGAAGTGAGCCCACAATTCATTTCTAAAACACTGCGCTGTGTTCAAGATGGTATCGGCCCCTTAATTGCCCCACTAATAATGGGGAGGTTGTGAAATCTGACCACTTAGACCAGGCTGGCTCCTCTGAGAGCAGCCCCGAAGGGAGGGTTACAGCTGCTGAGGGTTAGCTGGCTCCAGTCACCTTGCAAGTCCTGGGAAAATACACATTCCTGCAGGGGCAAGAGTTCCTGGAACAACCTCTCCCTGGAGAGCCAGGGGGTCAATCGCTCAGCTCCTCTCCAGCACCCAGATCCTGCCCCTCCTGAGGGCTCACTTCTCTACCTTGCTGTGTCTCCAGCTTCTCAGGTTCTGTGTGACATAGACCCACAGGAAGCCCTCTCTTGCTTGCACCACACATCACCGACCCTTATTCTTATATGTTAACATAGCCCCAACTAGACTAGGCAACCTCAGTCAGCACTGAGACTAAGTACTATGGACTGAACACCCACTAACTGGTAGGGGACTCGGACATGAATCAAACAGCCAAGTAACTGTACACCAGTACTTACTGGGCAGCCCTCTGACAGGGCAACTTCCGTAAAACCTTACCTAAGGAGGTAGGGGCAGAGGAGGCTTCCTGCAGGAAGTGATGCTGGAGCTGAGAGGGGAGGCTGAGATGTAAAGAGAAGGAACACAGGCGGGAGCAGCATGTACAAAAGCCCACTGCGGAGAAGACATTGGAGCTCACTGCTCTGATTGTGGCCCTTCCCCCACCCCCCTTCTCAAAATCGATCACTTCATACTGGATTTAGCAGGAAGGCTGCAGGGTCTAATTGGGTTCAGCCAAGATTTACAGGGCTCCAGGCTCTGAGCTCACCAACGTGAGGTTAAGCGTCTGGCTAAAGAAACTAGTCTGAAGACACAGATGTGAACAAATACTGACGATGTAGTCTGGTGAGAACCAAAGGCAAGGACCTGCAGGAGAAGGCGAAGCAAGGGGAATGGCATTCAAAGGGCTTCCTTGAGGAGGCATTACCTGAGCTGAGTGTTCGGCCAAGCAGGGGGTTCTCAGGGGAGGAAAAGCTATCCCAGGAGCAGGGAAAAAGCATGCCTCGGCAGCAAGAAGGACACAGGAGTTAGAGAGCAGGGTGGGAGGGCCAGGGGCTGAAGTTGGAAAGGTGAGCTGGGTCAGGGAAAGCTGGTGGCTCCATCAGATGCATCAAAAGGCCAGTCCAGGAGGGAAGGAGCCATGTAACAGGTTGGGAAGAGCCTAGAATCCAGGAGATGGCCCTGAGGCTTCCATGCTCATTCAAAAAGTAGGTGAATATGACCCCAAGGACTGTGAGGCCAAGGTAGGAGCTGTTGAGAACATCACCCCCAGGATGAATGTGAAGCCACTGGGATGAGGGCCACCATTAATCCTGTGGGTGTGCAGGTTTAGGGGTGAACACATTCCCACAGAGAGCACAAAACCGCCAGCTTGGCTCCTCTGGGGCCCGGCTATACCCACAGCATTAAAACTTCACAAGGTCTGTGCACTGACACGTGAAGCCACCTGGACAATTGTAGAAAAACAGCAAATTGGGCTGATCCACCTAGACCGGCTTATGAAAATTCAGAATAAAATATCTTTGATGCTGTTATTCAAAAGCGAACACACCAGTTTAGATCCAGAAAATTTAGGATTGGTAAGTCAACATGGGAAAGCCTTAAGGAAAGCTTTTTGATCTAAAAACTGAGGAAAACTTGGTATCCATTGGAAAAAAAAAAAAACAACCCAAGAATAGTGGTATTTTTACTAAAATGGGACAGAGTAAGAAAATGTGATGTTTCACTCAAATCGGAAGGTTACATTCACCATGGGGCTGGTGAGAGGGTGGGTTATAGCTGTCTATAGCACAGCTATTGGGTTTGAAGACATTTCAGCTACTTGGTTCATACCTCGTTTTCTGCACTGTGTTTCTCTGAATGCGGGGCAAGTGAGCTGGAGGCACCAGCCTGTGCCCCTAAAGGGATGTCAGGTTCTAGGCCTCGACTGCTTGAGGTCGTTCAGAGCACCCCACAAGAGGTGGGTGGACGTTGTTCTAAGAGAACTACCCCATACCTATCCCTCAGAGCAGTAGTGCTAGGGAAACTAGGAAATCCCATTTACTCCTGTTTTCCAGGTGAAGAAATTGAGGCTCATGGCTGCCCAGGAGAAGAGCCAAGGTCATGTTCCACGGCTGCCTGAGTGCAAAGCCGGTGTCCCCTCCACAAGGCTGAAGGCCGTGAGTGCCCTGACACCAGGCTGGCCCTGGCTTGGGTGGGAGGGGTGCTGGGCAGATGGACGCAGTCTCCAGGTCCTCTGGCCGCCCAAGCCCGGGAGCCCTGATAGAAACTCGGGACGGCAGCGTCCCCGCGCACACCCCCCTCCCCATGTCCCATCGCCCAGATGGCATGGAAGAAGCGCTGGGTTAGGGGCAGAGGGCTCCAAGCACAGGACAAAGTCGGTGCATCCCTCCAGTCTCGTCTCGGGCACCTGCCCGAGGGCACAAGCCCATTCCTCCCTTTGGCCACGAAAAATATGCTCAACTCAAGCTGGATGGCGGTGGAGGTGGGGGGGTCATCCGTGAGACCTTTCGAAGGGCTGGATACGGGAGCAAAATTTACCAGCAAGTCAGGAGTCTGAGGTGGGGGTGAAAGTGGGGTAAGACGGCCTGGCCCAGAAGGAACAAAGCGGCCCCGAAAGGGGGGGCGCACCCCTCCCCAGCACTCAGGGTGCCCTGCCTGGCAATCCCGGGCTTTTGCAGAGTTTTGGACCGGAGGTCCGAAAGAAGACCCCCACTCCCGCTCCAAAGCGCCCCCCATGCGAACAGCTCGGAGGAGGATCCCAGCCCGGGGCCCTGTGCCCTGAGGGGGAGGAGGTCCCGGGCCTGGAACAAAGGGTGGGGCGCCCTACTCCTGCCCCACGCCGGGCGTCCCTCTCGCCCGCCCTCCTGGAGCCGGACCCCAGCCAGTGGCCGCGCCTCATTAGCAACACAAAGCCGGGGTCGAGCGGCCTCTTTCAACCCAGCCGAGGCAGGCAGACGAGCGCCCCGGGAGGGGCGCAGGAGGGCGGGAGCAGCGGGATCCCAGCCCCACCGCGCACTCTGCGGAGGGCAGGCAAGTCGACGCGGGCGCTACTGCCCGCGAGCACCTGTGCCCCCGCGCTTTGGGGGACAGCAAGAAACTCGCTGTCCTCTCCTTACCCTCCAGCCACAGGTGTCGGCGCCCCGCGTTCTGCTGGAGCCGCCTGCGGCCACTGCCAGCTGGGAGCCGTTGAGGCAGGCGTTGACTGTGAAGAAGACAGAGCAGAGCTGCAGCCACGGGGCCATGGCCGTGCGCTCACCCAGCCCTGCCCTACTCTGCTCCCCGGCCGCCTGCCGCTGGCCAGCCCGGAGTGGGCGGTGGCGCTGGCGGCCGCGGCAGAGCTGGCGGCACCACCGAGCATGCGCTGCGGACCCTCGCCCCGCCCCTTCTCTCCGGGGCCCGCCCCTAGCCTCGACCCTCAGGTTTTGGCCCCGCTCCCTAGGTCTGGCTCTTCCTCTTGGCCCCGCCCCGACCTCTAAGCCACGCCCGCACAGCCCATCTCCGAGTGACTTTGAGAAGCCGACAGCTGCAGTTTTTTACCCTCACCTGAGAGGTCTTTTTTTTTTTTTAATCCAAGGATTTTTCCACGTAATGCCTGCTCCCTGCAAAACTCGGGAAAACAAACAAAAAATGATAATAATAGTTAAAATAATAATTTACAAGTGCCTACTATTTGCCAGTCCTCTTCTTGAATCCTCTCAAACACACCTGAAAGTGTCAGTAGTATTGTTACCCCAGTTTTCAGCGCAGAAAAGCTAGGCAATGTGGTGGTTAGAGAAATCCTGGCTGGGACCTCGGACAAATGACTTGCTCTCTCCCCATTACTGTTCCCTCCCCCTGTAAGCTGGAATAACAGAGTAAGTGTCTTAGTCTGGGGAGGATTCTACTGGTTAATACATAACAAGCATTCAACAAGTGCTACAATCTACTGTTAACTGACTTGCATAAAGTCACACAGCTGGCACCTGCCAGATCTGAGATTCAAATCCAGATTGGCAAAAACAATACTCTTAACCATTACACTTGTCAAACTGACTCTTGTGAAGTGGGTAGTACCTCTGTCTGGAAAAGGAAGCTGAGGCTGGGAGAAGTGAAGTGGCAAAGATCATCCAACTTCGCCACAAGCCCCTTCCCCCTTTGACTTGTCTCTGTGCTCTGGAATCCCACCTCTTCACCCTTCTCCATTGCCTTATCCCTCATCTATGCCACCACCTCCTCCACAACAGCTTCCAAAGGGCTTTTCTTGCTTGCACTTTTGTCCCAAATACAATGCATTTCTCCACCCTGGATCCAGAGTGATCTCCAAAAAGGTGTCAGACCACTGCCTTCTCCTGATTAAAAATCTCCTGCAGTCGCTTTTATTCAATGGCCTTTAGAATAAAATCTGCACTGACTTCCTCCTCTCCTATGTTATCTCTTCCTACTCTGCCTTCACTACTTGGCTCCAGCTACACTGATCTCCCCGCTCAACCTCAACTTGGTTTTCTTGTCTCAGTCAACCTTGAAGACTCTCACCTTTGCCAGTCCAACAAGGAACCCTCCTCCACATGACTCTCTCCTTCCAGGGCCTAGAATCCCCTCCCTCTCCTGTCTGCCTGGCCTACATGTGGTGATAGACAGCTCAGCTGCTACTAACACTGAGTTCCTGTATTTTCCATTGTGGCTCTGCACACCCTACCCATACCTTGTACTTAAACTCTCTGCAGAGGCAGAAGTGGCCCAAGCTTAGCAAGCTACCCTTGTGGAGACAGTAATGCTAGCAGAAGTCCTGGTGATTGGCTTCAGAACCAGGGAGCAGAGCCAGCTTCCCTTGAACTACAGAAGCTGGAAGTGGGAGACAGTGGTTGCCCAAACCCGTCCTCCCTTTCTCGCTGCCAGAGAAAGGGAGGACGGGTTCCCCAAACAACAACTGGTGGTCCAGTGGGTAAGACTCTGCACTCCCAATGCAGGGGGCCCGGGGTTCGATCCCTGGTCTGGGAACTAGATCCCGCCTGCATGCCACAACTAAGAGCCTGCATACCACAACTAAAAGATCCCGCCCTCCACAACAAAGATCCCACGTGCCACAGCTAAGACCTGGCGCAGCCAAAATAATACATAAATAAATAAATATTTTTTTAAAAATCCACCAGAACACCCAGGTGCTGAGAATTCCTGTTCATGTGCACCACTGGACAGGAAATGTTTTATTTTTTCATCTCATCACCAGGATATTCAGGAATTCAGCTAAACCCAGCATCACTGCTTTGGTCATCCAGAAGAACCAGGATCCACAGAAGGCTGCCTGCAGGGTAACCTTCTCTGAATAGACCTCACGCAGTATGTTGCTCCTGTGGGGAAGCTGTAGACTCAATGCTCTGCTGCCTTCCAGACCTCTGCCCATCCTCCCTGACTCCCCTCTGGGTCATTCCCAACCCCCACAGCCGGGAGCTGGGGATGTCAGGGGTTTGGCCATGAATGTCAGGAGTGCCAGGGGCTGAAATGAGGCCAGGACCACATGGGTGCTGGTGAAACACCCGGGAAACCGGGAGACTACCTGCTCCTTAGGCTCTTTAATCTCTATGACATTCCAGCCTAGACATGTGCCATAATTTATTAACCAATCCCCTGCTGAGGGACTTCTATTATAATCAGGGATTCAAAAATATCCTCACACATTTATCTTGATACACTTATTCAGCTGTTTTCTTAAGACAGATTCCTAGAATCAGAACTGCTGGATTATGCACATTTAAAATTGGCAACTTGCTCAACATCTCATTGCAGTCTTAATGGTGTTCTCTGGTTGCTAATGAGGTGGACCATGCTCTCAGGTATTTAGAGGCCATGTGCATTTCTTCCTTTCTTCTGGAGTTGGACCCCAGAAAAAGGATCAGTATTTAGAGCTTATGATAGAGGGAGAGCCTTAAGGAGGGTACTGGGGAGAGGAGAGCGTTTCTTCTTGGGTTTCACTCACATCACCAATCACCATATGATTGAGTGACTGGAGAAGGCAGAGCAAAGGCTCCTACATCCTTTCCAGTCTCCACACCCACCGACTTTTGAGTTCCCTCCTGCCCACAGCTCACTGCCCAGTCTGGCAATTGACAGCCCCTGAAAACATGCTACAGAATTTAGAGAGCGCTCCAACTTTTCTAAAGGAGTACAGAGGACACAAGAAAGAAAATGTCTAAGTGCCTACTCTAAAACATGGTTAGAATGACATCCCTCAAGACCAAGGACTGAGACGCCCTTCTGTTTGCCTTCTAGGGAGGCCACAAGCATGCATGTGTGTGGGGGGGGGTTGGGGTGGGAGAACCACATACATCAAAGGGAAAAATTTGGTCAGGAAATAGAGGCAATAAATTGGCATTTGGCAACATCCTCTCCGTTCTGGTCTTCTTCATTAATTCTTTTCCTCTCATCCCCTCTTTTTATTGTGACCCTTCAGAATATTTGTGAGGCTGCAGGAAGTGAACCTCTGTACTAGAAACTGAGATAAAATGAGGAGGCCAGGCTCCCACAAGGCCTCCATGGTCTAACCTTTCTCTAGGCCACAGCAGAGCCCAGCTTTGTAGGTGCCCAGAGGATGAAGCCCTCCTCAAATAAAACATGTAGTCTCACCCACCGTGGCTAGGGCTGTCTGTGGCCCAGTCACAATTTAAGCCACCCCTCATCATCCCTATCTGGTTCACCTCTCTGTCACCAGTGCCCTGCACTCTGCTTGACACACATCAGTGGGCAAGAAACTGTTGCTGCCTCCATCCCTGGTTGGAATGAAGCTGGGGATTAAACAGATTAAATCACCTTAAGCCGTTGACGAAATGCAAATATATTTCCCCAATTTACCTAGAACCTAAACAGATAAGAAAAAAATCCTTAACACGAGGATTGCATTTTGTTAGGAGTCAAATTATCCTCTGAAACATAAGATAAAGTGATCATGGAAACATTTTGTATGCTGAATCATTTTCAGCTGAGAAGAACTGAAAACAATTTTAATGAACGGTGGTTAGAAGCCGTGGGCCAAAATTCTAATTTATTTTTGGTATTGCGATGTACACGTATTATGCACTAATCAAGACATTAAAGGTAAAGTGTGTCCTCCACCCCATCTCCCAGCAGGCTGAGCGTGAAAGTTTCCCTGGGCTTTGGGGAGAGCAGTACGGGGAGAACTGATACCCTCCTGAGAGCCCCGCCGATGTCAGTTCGGCCCCGGACAGTCTTGCCTCGAACCGGGTAGTTGTCATCATCTCCACTTCATAGATAGCGAAGCCGAGACTCAGCCAGGAGTTCCCAGACTCATCTGATCCCCCAAACTCTGCCTGCGGCGCGGGCCCGCATCCTTCCGGAGCCGGCCTTGGCACCGCCCAGACTGTCCAGAGGCCCAGGGCGGGGGCGAGCGTCAGACCCGGGGCGGCCGACCCAACCCCGCGCCCCGAAACCCCCGTACACGCACCCCAAAGTGCCGCGGCCATTACACGGAGTTCACGCGTCCACTGCCACTTACCGTTTCTTTTGAAGCGCGGGGAGCCCAGTCTCCATTGTAGCCGACAGAGGGCGCGCGTGGTCCAGGTTGGAGACGCCCAAACAATCCCGGACTGCGCCGCCGCGAGGACACAACACTTTAGGGCATAGGCCAGATGCAGGAGCAAATGCTCGCTGTTACCCAGAGCTAGTGCTAAGTTTGCGTGGAAGTAGAGTTCAGAAGGAGGTAAGAAAAGAATGTTAAATATGGGCTTTCAGTAACAGTGTAGCTTTGGGCAATTCAGTTAACCTCTCTGGATGTCACTTTTCTTAATGGCCACACAGGAATGACATGGATGCAAACCTCAGTGGGTTTTTGTAAATCTGAAGTAAGCAAATGGCTATGAGTTGTAAACCAGGACTTGATGGAGGCAGGCCCAGGGGCAGCTGGAATCCAGACAGTAGCCAAGGGAGATGGCCTCCTCTTGTCTCCTTCCAGAGCTCACACCCTGGTTTGGATATGCACTAGACTGGAAGCCTATGGACCATAACCTGTTTACCATTCATTCATTCAACAAGTGCTCATAGAGTCCCTGCACCATATCAGGCATTACACCAGAAGCTGGGGACCAGTGTGAACAACACAGACACTGTCCCCAACAAGACACTGTCCCACTTGTCATAGAACCTACAAGCAAACATTCTATGGGGGACATTGGCATTACTCAAATAACCACATGACCAGGGGATAATTACAAGTATATGGATTGTGTCTAAAGAAGTGATGCCTGGACTTCCC